GTGGTAGAGTGTTAGCCTTAAGCACAAAAGCTCAGGGACAGCACCCAGGCTGTCAAGATCCTGAGGTCAAGATCCAACACTTGCATACACACACAAAGAAAGAAAAATTACTACTTTTCCTTTAACAATGTAGATTTTAAGGCTCCAGTTCATAGTGGCAGTAAACCTGGAGTAATGGCTGGCTAGTGTGACTGCAAGGTCACAGACTTCCCATGATGCTCTTCTTCACCTCTAAGCAGATCATATGAACGAGTTTAGGGGTCATACCCATACTTGCCTCCTTAAGCTTATATTCAGAATTTATACTCTCATGTATAACTTTCATGACCTTTTTAAAAATGTATATATTGGGCTGGGAAGGTGGCTCAGTGGTAGACTGCTTGCCTTGCATGCATGAGGCTGGGTTCAATTTCTTAGCACCACATAAGCAGAAAAAACTGGAAGTAGTGCTGTGGCTCAAGTGGTAGAGTGCTAGCTAGCCTTGAGCTGAAGAGCTGAGGGACAGTGCCCAGGCCCAGAGTTCAAGCCCCATGACTGGCAAAAAATAAAAAATAAAATAAATAAAAAATAAAAATGTATATATTAGTTTGAGAAAGTATACAGCAAAGTAATAGCTAATTAATTGAACACTGTAAGACACTGAGATTTTAAGTCTTATGTCTAGATACACTCATCTAGAATATACATATTTGTCTCACTCAAAACAAGTAGAATGCTGACATTGGTGTAATCCTACACAGGAGGCTAAGATTTGAGGATATCAGTTCAAAGGAAAGCCTGGGCAGGAAAGTCCATGAGACACATATTTCCAATTAACTAGCATAAAGCCAGAAGTGGAGTTGTGGCTTAAGACGTAGAGCCAGCAGTAAGCAAAAAAGCAAAGGGACAGAGTTCAGGCTCTGAGTTCAAGACCCAGTACCATACAAAGAGGAAAAAAATGTAGAAATTCAGCTTTCAGATGCAGAACGCTGACAAGAGATTGTTAAAATAAGCTCTTCTTCCTAAAGGAGAGAGAGAGCTCTGCCTAAAGGCTGCTGGGTTTCTGTCCATTTTTGCAGAATACTATAAACCTCTGTTACCTAAATATTGACATTTTACCCTTTTTATGGGATTTGTCTGCATTCTAACTCAAACATAATAAAACTGGCACTCTTTACAATTAGAAGATGAGTTCTCTATTTTTTAGGGTTAAGGGGAATCTTACATGATTCCTGTTGTCTAAAGGATTTTTCCTGTACTAGCAGCTTATGTCATTAAAAAAAATCACTTTTTTTAAGACAGTCTCTCTCTACAGCTCATCCTAACCTTGTTGTCCTTCTGTCTTGGTCTCCTAAATGCTGGCATTACAGGCAGGAGCCACCAACAGTGGAACTTTTTGTAGGTGGTGGTGGTCATCGTGGGGCTTGAACTCTGGTCCTGGGCACTGTAGCTCTTCAGCTCAAGGCTAGCGCTCTACCACTTGAGCCATAGCACCACTTCCAGGTTTTTGGCAGTTAATTGGAGAGAAGAGTCTCATGGACATTCCTGCCTGGGCTCTGAACTGTGAGCCTCAGATCTCAACCTCCTGAGTAGCTAGGATTACAGGAGTGAGTCACCGGTGCCCAGCCCAACAGTGGAACTTTTAAAAAACAATTTGGGGAGCTAGAGTCATGGCTCAGTGGTACAGTGCTCACTTAAAAAGCCCAAGGTTCTGAGTTCATTGTCAGAAGGTTGACAGGTTTCAAGGTTTTGGTAAAGAATTGTGCCACTTGGTTAACAAAACTCTCTCTCTTTCATTCTGCGTGTATGGTTAAAAAGCCCAAGGTTCTAAGTTCATTGTCAGAAGGTTGACAGGTTTCAAGGTTTTGGTAAAGAATTGTGCCACTTGATAGACAAAACTCTTTCTCTTTCATTCTGCGTGTGTGTGTGTGTGTGTGTGTGTGCTGGGGTTTGAACTCAAGGCCTTGTGCTTGTTAGGCAGGTACTCTACTGCCAAGCAGAGACTCTTCAGTTCAGGTTTTTCTATGTAAGGAAACAAATTTCATCTGAAGTTTACTCATTCAGCTAGTAGAGAAGTCAAGATGAAAAGACAAGAACATATGTGGGTAGATTATCAGAATCTGAGCAAGTAACATATCATTGGTTCATCACTGATATCATTAAAATATAACTCCAGAGACAAAAAGATGAATGAAGAAATACAGCCATATTTTGTCCTGTCCTGATCCTGGCCTCAGCCCAGACATCATTCTGTTCTTTGTTTATGTTGATATTATACATACCCACAAGTACCAGGACCCAGTACCAGGATGACTATACTCTCTCTCCTCCCATACCCTCTTTCTCCCCTTTCCCACACCCTGAGCATAGAATGAGTCATTTCTCTTCCTTCAAAACATTCTCAAGACCTGCCCTCACTTCTCCCTTCTGTGGAAGTGGCTTTTGTTTTTCCAAAAAAAAAAAAAAGTTCAATTGTGCTGTAATTGAAAAGGTCCCTTGCGAAATCTGTTTTGTGTCAAATGAAATTAATTGTGGTGAGTTGTGAATCTAGCAAGGAGCAGATGAATTCAGACTATACTTCAAACCATTCTGAGGAGAAAGGTTCAACAGTTCAAGAGGTAATGAGAGAATACATGAGAATTTCAAAATAATCTAAACAGAATGTGTCTTCAAGCTACATGCTTTAATCAGAGCGATGCACACGTACTCTAGCCCAGTGTTCAAGGTAGGAACTTGAATGAGTTTATTACTTTCACCTTTTACACAGAACTCTGCAGTGAATTACTCCTCATCTTAAAAACTGCTGTCTATAGGGTACTTGGAGATGTGGCATCTCAAGAAAATGAACCTTGATTTTTTTTTAATTCCTGGAGTAAATTGTGCACAATAATTAGAAATGTTCAGTGACATAGTAATGAAAGTCAGCCTACAGTACTTTAATTGGGTACTAGCAATGGTTCTTTACTTTGCCAACAAAACCAGATGGAGAGTATCATTTCAAAAAAAAAGAGGTAATGAAACTTCACTTGGAAAGATTGCTCAAGAAAAATGGCAGCACTTGATCATAGAGTGAGCTTTCAGAGCACACATCACATGAACCTCACATGGGAAAAACAAAAGCAAAGATGTAAGAGTAAACAGCTATCATTTCTAATGCATATCAAGCTGATACCTGGAGAGTACCGGCTCCTTACCTAGCCACCAACTGGCCACCCATGTCTCTCCTGACATTGCCTGTTACAAGAGAGAATGTTCTGGACATCTGCCTTATCTGTAGTTTATTCACCCAAGTAGAACAGAACTACAAGACTAAAAGATAAGCAATTTTGCAGGCAGATTGCGAGAATCTGGACACTATAAACCAAATAGCTTACCAAGTGCATAATCACTGGGTTTGTTAAAGTAAAACTCCAGTGAAAAGAAGATTCTCATGGTTCGTGGGTAAGGGAAAATTTTCTTGTTCCAGTAAATGAATTACTGACAAATGTCTACAGCCATTGTATAGCCGTAAGTCATATTGAAAAATTAATACATTCTGAGTGAACAACTTACCAGTAATCATTCAAGTGAAACAAATATTCTGAACAAAATGGGTCTTTTTGTAGCATTTGAGAGTAGAGAAGATAATAAAAGCTGCCACCTCCCAGAGTCCTTAACCAGCTAGGCACTGCTGGCTCCCACCTGCCATCCTAACTACTCAGGAGACTGAGGACTGAGGACCATAGTTTGAATCAGTCCAGACAGAAAAGTCCATGATCTCTTATTTCCAGTTAGTCAGCAAAAAGCTTAAAGTGGGGCTGAGGCTCAAGTAGTAGAGTGCCAGCCTTCAGTAAAAAAGCCAAGCAAGAAGGTAAGACCTCAAAGTGTAAGCCCCAGTATTGAGAAGAAAGAGGGTGTGTGTGTCCTGATTCAACAACTCATCTTTCTTTCCCTCATAAGCACCCTTACTTATGTTGTCTTTGTTGTGTACTACCAGTAATATCTCTGACTCTGTTCTTTCATTTCCAACTTGACCTGCTAGTATCACCCACAACACTGAAAGCCATATGATCAACTGGGGCTTGGAACATTGTTGAAGAGTTGAAAAATTAATTCTAACTCGAGGCTCTCATGTTAGAGAAATGCTCTAATGTCCTAAGCTAATTTCACTTCTACCTGTCTATACGGCCATGGGTGAATTACACTACTTCTGGGGTTTTGCTTTCCCTTTTGTTAAAGGTTAGGTCTAGATAACTCTAATAACCCAAGCTACCACATTCTGATTCTAAAACTCAGCTACACAAAATCCTTTGATAGCTCACAAAGTGCTTGCACTATGTGCATCATTGAATTAGGCTTTCACACAGCCTTATTCCTTAGGTAAGGTATATATTGCTAGCCCTATTTTATAAGGAAGATGGACTCGTTAAATATATTTATTGAGGCACACCAGCTGCTGGTAACAGAAGTCTTCTGAGTCCTAATTCAGTGCCTGTTCCATAAGAGACTGGCAAGATCATTGCAAGTTCCCAATTGGCATGCTATGGATGAATAAAGACCAGATTTTCATTTCCTGAGATATGCTGATGGAACTCCAAAGGGATACAAGAAAAATAAAGAGTTTAGGCAAAGGGTGGGAAAAGAGAGGAACTCGGGAGGGGGAGCAGCAGTTCTCATGTGGGTAAAACTTAGGGATGAAAATGCTTAAAGACAACTTTCAGGAAGTTTTGTTCTAAGGTGCACATTGAAAGCCTTTCACCATCTCTGAAAGAAAACTATAAAAATCAGCACTGGTTTTTACTATCTTCGGGTGAGACTTGTATTTTTCCCTTGATATAGCTTAAATATATGGATTTGTCACATGTGTTCCAACCTTTGGGTTTTAATAAACAGAAAAACAATTTTACATTATCATCATTACCCTGGAATCCAAACTAGAAAAAGCAAAGAGTATGACCCCTCTGCTACCAGCACCAGCACAGACGCAGAGACGTTACTTGTACGTCATTATTTTGACCTGCAACACATGATGCTGTACTTACCTTTTTTACTGAAGGAACATGCACGTGGTAATCTCACTAACTGGCTAGTGCACCTGGGAGAAGTTGTTTGGCACAGAGGAGGATGTGAAAATACCCTTCCATCTGACCCCAACTAAATGCTGAGCCTGCAGGATACTGCCCATCATCCAGATGTGCAGAATCCATCTGCCGGGTGAGGAAGCTCCAGTGCCTGGAAAATAAACCAGAATAACACTGAGAGAAAAATTAGCATTTTAAGATCTAAATAAGTCTTTTTCGATCCCCAAAAGGTGTCCCAGGAGACAGCATTTCCATTCTGAAGGACTTGAAACAAAATGGCTACATTTTATGTAGGAGATTTGCACATCAATATACCATATTTCTTCTTTCCTGCTGAGGTGGGAAAAAATGACATTAGGAACTTTAAAAGTTTATAAACTACTGGCATAAGAAGAAACACAGCTAAGTTTAACTTATTTCCAATTAACTTAAAGGACTTTTTTCCATTTTATAATTTTAATCTATTTTCCAAACCCATTCAGAATGTGCCATACATAAAAGGCAATAATATTCCTGTAATTTGTTTAGCATATGAATATTTTTTACTATTAAAGAGATAAAAAGCTAGACACTGCTGGCTAATGTCTGTAATCCTAGCTACTCAGGAGGCTGAGACCTGAGAACTGCAGTTCAAAGCCAGCGTGGCAGGAAAGTCTGAGACTCTTATTTCTAATTAACCACCAGAAAACCAGAAGTGGTGCTGTGGCTCAGAGTGGTATAGCATTGTCCTTGAGAAAAAAAGCTCAGAGACAGCACCCAGACCCTGAGTTCAAGCCCCATGACAAAAAGAGAGAGAGAGAGAGAGGGAAAGAGAGAGAGAGAAAGAAAGAGATAAAGAGTGTTAGTAGACTCTGATTAAAAAAAATCTATTTGACAAGAGCAAAGAGTAACTATTAAATATAGATTATTGAGTATATATACAAATTTGTATTGTGTGTATGTGCATTCTCAACACTAGAATACCCAAGTATATAAATCAAACATTATCAGATATAAAAATCCATGTAGTCTCTACAGTAATCACTCAAGAACTTCAATACTGGGCTGGGAAGGTAGCTCAGTGGTAGATCGCTTGCCTTGCATGCCTGAGGCCCTGGGTTCAATTCCTTAGCACCACATAAGCAAAAAAGAAAAAAGCTGGAAGTGGCGCTGTGGCTCAAGTGGTAGAGCCCTAGCCTTGAGCTAAAGAGCTGAGGGACAGCACCCAAGCCCAGAGTTCAGGCCCCATGACCAGACCAAAAATAAATAAATAAATAACTTCAATACAACTTTCTGTCAATGTACAGATCATCCAACAAAATTATCATCAGGCAATCATCAGAGTCCATACTACACTCACAGATATTTGTAGCACATCTTCTCCAATAGCTGCAGAATATACAGTCTTGTCAGCACATGGAATATTCTCCAGGATATAGTAGGCCACAAAAAAAGTCAACAATATTTTTTTAAAGTTCAAATCACACCCTATATTTTCACCCAGCACATAGAATAAAACTAGAAATCAAGAGGAAGAATTTTAGATATTATAAAATTACATAGAAAAATAACATTCACTTGAATGACCAACAGGTCAATTAAAAAATCAAAAGATGAATTTAAAGAATTTATTGACAAATGCCAAGGAAAGCACAGTACAATCAAATCTGTGATATACAGTAAAAGCAATATTAAGAGAGAAGTTTAGCCAGGAGCTGGTGGCTCACACTTGTAATCCTAGCTACTCAGGAGGCTGAGATCTGAGGATCATGGTTTAAAGCCAGCCCAGGCAGAAAAGTCCGTGAGACTCTGATCTCCAATAAACCACTAGAATACTGGAAGTGGCACTGTGGCTCGAGGTAGAGCACTTGCCTTGAGCTGAAGAGTGCAGGGCAGTGCCCAGGACCAGAGTTCAAGCCCCACGACTGGCAAGAGAGAGAGAGAGAAGTTTATAACAACAAGTATTTACATTAAAAAAGTTATACGAACCATTGAATGATGCATCTCAAAGAATTAGAAAAGAATAAACTGAATCCAAAATTGATTGAAGAAAATAATAATGAAAATCAGAGCAAAAAACAAATAAAATAGAAAATTATGAAAAATTGCAAAATACCAAAGAATTGATATTTTGAAAATAGAACCACGTTGACAAACTTTTATCTAGACTAATCAAGAAAAAAGAACAAAGTTGGTAAAATTCTATGTACACTAATCACAAAAACAGGGCTAGAGGCATGGTTCAAGGGGTAGAGCCAACAAGCTAAGTGAGAGCATGGGGCACTGAGTCCAACCTCCAGAACTGGAAACAAAGAAGCGAGAACACACAGACAAGTGAAATCAAAGAGGAAAAAAGAGACATTAGGGACAATACCCCAGAAACAGAAAGGATTCTTTGGGACTAGTATGAACAACTACATGCCAATAAATTGGAAAGCCTAGAAATGCTTTTATGGACATATATAACTTCCAAAATTGAACCATAAAGACACGGAAAACAATGCCAAAGCATTTACATTCATCCTGTAATACCTGGATACCAAAATAAGACAAGAATACAACAAATAGAGAAAACTACAGATTAGGTAGCTGATAAACATAAGGGCAAGAACTTTCAAAAAGAATACTAGCAAATCAAATTAATATTTAGAAAAACAACTATAGATCATAATCAAGTAGAATTTATCCCATAGATGAAAGAATGAATAAAGGCATGCAAATTAGTAAGTAAAATATAGCATACCCTCAGAAAAAAAATGATAAAACATCTCAATAGATGCAGAAAAAAATGGTAAAATCCAACATGCCTATCTGATAAGAAAACCTGAGATCTTTGTCTAGGAGACTATTTCAGCACAATAATGACTATCATTTGAGAAATCCACAACCTATCTCGTATGGAATAGAAAAAGTCTGGATCCATTTCCACTGAGACCAGGAACAAGGAAAGTATGTCCAGTTTTACCACTTTTATTCAGGTGAATACTAAGAATCTTCACCAGAACAATAAGGCAAGAGAAAATAATTACATCCAACTAGAAAAAGAGAAGAGCAAATTATCCCTGTTTGCAAATGGCGTGATTTTATATATACAAAAGCCAAAGTCTCCAACAAAAGTTATTCAAACTGATAAATTCAGTAAGGCTACAACCCTGCAAATCGATGTAGAAGAATCACTAGGTTTTCTTTTTTATATACATCAAAACCAAAATTCCAACGAAGAAACAAGAAAGTAATCCCCCAAAAATGTTTATGGTGTGATGACAAGAAGCAAGCTGATAAAAGAGAGATGGTATTCATCAATGAAGAAGAAGAAAACACCAGGAACAAAACAGGACAGCTGGAAAGCATGGCAAAACAAAGGAAACAGGACAAAATGGGAAAGTGTGCCCACTCAGCCTAGTTTCCTCAGAGGTAGCAAAAGATAAAGCATCTACCACAATGTAAGATAGGCTGCCTTGGTGACAGAATGGCAGATCTGGTTACAGAAGACTCCTATTCAACCTGCAAGCTTTAAATCCAGTATGGAGATTTGGTGAGACAGACTAACATCAGACTAGAAAGATATTCTCTTTTGCCCCTCATATCTCACCCAGACCCAAGAAGTAAATGAGTCAGTGAATCAGGAACCTAGAGAAAGAAAGTCTGAATGATTGAGAATCAAAACCAGAGAAAAGGGCAAGGAGTCAAAGGTCAAACAATAAACAGTAACAAGCAAAGGTCTGAGAGAAGAGCTATTGTCTGGGCCTAAAATTTACAAGCTCATTGCAAAATGCTAGATAGAAGTGCCTAAAATCCTAAGTCCAAAAGTGCATTGCACCTCATTAAACCTCTCGGCCTGTCCTTTCTGTAGATACAATATCCACAGTACTATCCTTTCATAGGCTGGGTAGACAAAATGGATAAGAGTAGGGCATCTCAATTTTCATAAGTGCGAAGCAATCTCGGTAGATTTGTGTTCATTGTTGAGACTGAAATTGCCAGACCATTCCAGAAACCCAGAAAACTGTAGGCCACAGCTTGAAAATCTTCTGCTAAAATAATTTAAGTTGTTTAAATACATAAAGAGATAGAGATAGAAAATTTATACCCTGTTTTGCTATTATGTCATGCCTGGATAGATGGAAATGTTCAAAATGAAAGAAAGAAAGAGTGAAAAAATATTACAACAAGAGGCATGAATAGTCAGGGAAGGTAGTAGGTGGCTGGGCATCATGGCTCACTCCTATAATCCTAGATATTAGAAAGACAGTGATAGGAGAATCATCGTTCAAGACCAGTCCAAGTAAAAAGTTCACTAGAACCATCTCAGCTAATAAAATTGGGGTTTCCAGATGTGAGTGGCTTATTCCTGTAATCCCAGCTACTCAAGAGGTTAAGCTCTTAGGATTGTGGTTCAAAGCTAGCCTAGCCATGAAAATCCATGAGACTCTTATCTCCAATTAACTATCAAAAAGCCAGAAGTGGAGTGGTAGTTCAAGTGGTAGAGCTAGTCATAAACAAAGAAGCTCAGTGACAGCACACAGTCCCTGAGTTCCAGCCCCAGGACTGGCATCCAAAAAAAAAGTAGGATGTACACCAGGCATTGGTCGTTCATACCATGATCTTAGCTATTCAGGAGGCTGAGATAGGAGGATCATGATTCAAAGTCAGCCTGGGCAGAAAAGTCTGTGGGACTCTTAGCACCAATTAACCAGTGAAAAGCAGAAGTGGAAGTCTAACTTAACTGGTATTAGAGTGGCAGCCTTGAGTGAAAACAGCCAAGTGAGACTGAGGCTATATATTCAAGCCCCAACATGCACATTAACACACACACACACGTACACACACACACACACACACACACACACGCATGCACGCACGCACGCACACACACACGCACACGCACACACAGTGGATACTGGTAGCTTCCATCTGTCATCTCAGCACTTGGAAGGCTGATGCAGGAGGATTGTGAGTTTGAGGTCAACCTGAGTTAAACAGTGAGAGAATGTCTACAATTAAATAGACAGGGCTGGGAAGTTGGCTCAGTGGTCGAGTGCTTGCCTCACATTCATAAGGCCCTGGGTTCGATTCCTCAGCACTATATAAGTAGAAAAAAGCCGGAACTGGTGCTGTGGCTCAAGTGGTAGAGCGCTAGCCTTGAGCTGAAGAGCTGAGGGACAGCACCCAGGCCCAGAGTTCAGGCCTCATGACTGACCAAAAAAAAAAAATTAAATAGACAACTTAAACAAGCCTAAGGATGATAGTTTTTCAAAGAAAGAAGTCAGAAATATTAGGGTTTAAAAAAGGCAGAAAGGAGGAGAATAAAAATTGCAAATGCAAGGTTCACCATGTCCCCAGAAAAGTAATTGAAACAGAAACCATTCTAAGACATGAAAGGGAAAACTATTTCAATTATGGGTACTAGGAAATACTACAAATTAGAAGAACAAAATTATACCTGGAAAGGAAAAAAAAAATCAGTCTTGCCCTTGTCTTTGTTACATGAATACATTCTGGAAGAAAATGGCGGAACTTCTGAAAGACTTGGCAAAATACATTAGGAAACCAAAATTCTAAACTGAGTCAAAGGTGGCAGAAGATCTAGAGCAAGGATATGATAAGAATGCCACAGAAATAGAAATACCATGAACTACCTTCTGAAGCTAAAATAGAGCCAGGCACCGATGGCTCAAGCCTGAAATCAGGAAACTGAACTGAGGATTGTGATTCAAAGCTAACCAGGTCGCACAAATCTGAGGGTCCTTTATCTGCAATTAATCAGCAAAATGTCAGATGTGGAGGTATGGTTCAAGAGATAGATTGCTAGCCTTGAGTGACAAAGCTAAGCAAGAATACAAAGCCCCTGAGATCAAGCCCTAGGACAGATACAATAAATAAATAAGGAAATAAATAGACAAATAAAAAAGAGTTGAAAGAGGATCCTGGACCTTGTCACCCAAAATACAAAGGCTGTAGAGGATAGTACAGACAACACCATACACAACCTAACTGGTACACCTATTGCAGACATCATTCAAAATTTCATTCAAAGCAAACATAAAACTGCCCTCCTTTTCATGGTATGTTCTTTTAAATCCTGACTTCCTCAGTACCACCACGACAACAACAAAAACAAGGATGATTAAGTCTTCTCACAAAAATCACTAAAGCACATTGGATACAATAGGTTTTAAAAAAAAAACAACTAACTTTTAATACTCAAATCAATAAGAAAACAGACAATCTGCAGAAAACAAAAGCTAGAAGGAAGGAGGGGAAAAAAACTAAAGAGATAGAGACCAAATCTGGGTGGTTGTTGTTTTCTTTGTTTTGTTTTGAGACATTTCAAGAATCCAGGTGCTCTTGGCTTGTTCTCATAGGCCCCCAAGTAGACAATCTCAGGAAGATGGCTCCGGTTAACAAACACATACCCAAAGCATTCCCCAGTCATAAGCATAAGATAAGCAGGACTGAACTCACCTCACACACCCAGGGCACTGCCTATTTGCGATCGCAGAGACAAGAAGGAAATAAACCTATTTCATAAGTAGACACTCACAGGAGTCAGAAATATTCACTAATTGGATAAGCCCAACACACCTGAAGCTGAGAATTAATGTCGTCCTTCTGGGATTTCAGTAAGAAAGAAGAAGTAAATGTAAATCTTTTCTAAATGAAGTAAACCTGAACACAGACCACAAATAACTTCTTCCAGAATCAACTCCAAGGACTCTGAACGGCGCCCAACCAAAACCAATCAAACAAATAAAGCTGTCATAAGAGAAAGCCACCAATAATAAATAATGGACAACAAAATCAAAAGTCCAGATGTTGAACTCATAAACACAGAATGTAAAAAAAATGTTAATTTAAGTTATCCTCAGAAATAAAGTACTTAAGTTTTGATTAAAGAGCAAAGACAATTAAAATAAGCAGATCTGGATGACAGCTAAACTGTGTTCCTAGTAGCAAAATAAAATGATAGAAATGAAACACATTCTGTGGAGGAGTTGAGCCAGAAGATTACACACAGATTAAAGCATTAGCAGAATGTTAGATAGTTGTGAAGCGCTGATTTGGCCTGCTCCTTAAAGACACAAACAAGTGGAGCATGAAAGTAGAGGCATAGAAAGTCAAGTAAGAGTCTAACACATGTAGAACTGGACTTCCCAAAGGAAAAGAAAACCACAATGGAAAGAGGTAAAATCTGAAGAACTCATGATGAGTTTTTTAGAACTGGTAAGAAGAAACTAATATGCAGTTTCAGTGATTCCCAAGTAGAATACATAATAATTTTTTAATACTTAGAATCATCATAATTAAATATCAGAACGTCAACCACTAGGAAAAGACTTTTCAAACGGAAGTCACAGTAGAAAGATAATGTCAAGTAAGTGATGTCTTAACAACAGTAATATCCTCACTACGGTAAGAAACAATGACTCAGTCTAGCACAGTATGTCCAGTGTGGGGGTGGGGAAGAGTTCACTCATAATGGGACCACTAGGGAGTCTGAAGCAGGAGGATATCAAGTCCAAGGTTAACTTGTATTACATAAAGAGGTTCCAGGCCAGTCTGAGCTATATATCAAAAGATCCAGTCTCAATGAGAGACAGAGACAGACAGAGAGACAGAGTAAAACAGAACAGCTGCATGAAGGGACAAAAGAAGAAAGAAAGAAAGAAAAAGAAAGAGAGAGGGAGGGAGGAAAGGAGGAAGGGAGGGATGGAGGAAAGAAGAAAAAGGAAGGAAGGAAGGAAGGAAGGGAGGGAGGGAGGGAGGGAGGGAGGGAGGGAAAGAGAAAGAAAGAAAAAGAAAGTTCTGTAGCAAACAACCATTGGTACTGGACGGGATCTCTTCTGCTTTCTCTCAGCACTCACCTGGCCTGACACAAGCTTTTCTGTACTACTGTATGGGGAGCCACACCTATGAGTAACTTTAGAAGCTTGCCCTCACCACAGATGCCATTTTGCCCACCCGTGCAGTGAGCTGGGAGTATCTAAGGGCTTGAAACCACCCTCCCCCAGCCCATGACGCCTCTGTAAAAGCTCAGCTCCCAGCTGTAATTTCTGTATGCCACTGCTAAGGCTACAAATTTGCCTGAAATTGTACCTTTACCTGGATGATTTTCCTCTTACCCATCTACTTCTCTTCCTCTCTCACCTGCCTCTCCTCGGAGCAATTAATTAATATCCATTTGCACATAAATCCTCAGTTCAGTGTTAGCTTCCAGGAAAACTAATACAAAAGATCCCCTAATTTTAAATGCCACATTTCCTCCAGAATGTATATGACAGATATAGTTGAGTTTTTATTATGTGTATGTGACACTAAGTAAATACACAGGAATTTCTTATTTTATTTGAAGCCACTGGGTTGCATTAGTAATAAACATAAGGAGCAGCCCAAGGGGGACCCCTGCAAGTTATTTGGCAGTTGGGGTACACTCTCAATCTCGCAGAGGTAAGCCACCCACTTACATGCAGCACTATTGAAAATGCAGCTGTACGTCACTTTTCTACGTGTGTAAGACTTCTATGGTTCTTGAATATGAGCAAACTGGTCACCATTTCTAAGGGCTGAGTGTAGCATTGATTGTTTCAGAGACAATGGGCCCAGTGTTTGGTGTTCAGACTACATGTTTCAAAGGGAATCATTGTGTGCTTAATATGAAAAAAAAAAAAAGGACTCTATTTATTGGAAAAAGAGCAGCCGAGCAGCCTTCACTCAAAGAAACCAGCGCTGACAGTCTTAAGTTACAGCTGTTAAATCAAGCTGTAGGTTCACCACTTAGTAAAGCAAGCCAGAGACTCCTGGGGGGAGGGAGGTTGCTGAGAAGAAATCAGTAAAGAGAACCAGCCCTTGGACTTCTGCAGCCATTTTTGATCAATGGAAAAATCCTTCTTATAATTATATAAATGCCTTTGAAGCACATTTCTCCAAGAACTTTTTTTTAATCTAAATTTCTTCATTGAGACTGTTTAAACATTTACACGGCATAATACGTGATGCCTTGAAAGTCTGCAAGCAAAGTAGGGAATCCTTGAGCTGCAACCCAACTGTTTTTTAAGAAATATTTTTTAAATTGGTTATTGATGCTCATTGCTGGTTTTTAGAGGAAAGATAGGTAGGTAGGTAGGTAGGTAGGTAGGTAGGTAGGTAGGTAGATGGATAGATAGATGACTGAAGAGAGATTGATAGATACGACAGATGAGGTAGAGATAGATATATCACATAAACAAGGTCATTTAACAAAACATTTCTCTAAGTCTGGGCTAAGAGAGTGATAGATAGTAGGGTGTGGGCTTGGGCAAGGCTGGATACACATAGCACGTACCGCAGATATGCTCAGAAGTGCTAAACAGTAATCAACCACACAAACAGGCTAGTAATAGAATGAAGGTTCCTCTTAAACTGAAGTTGTCTTAAACTCTTTTTAGATGTGTCCATTTCCAAGGCATATGGTAAATGTGCTAATTAGAGACATTCCCCAGGCAAAACCTCAGGAGTACAAACAAGCTAAATATCGTGTTCTTTAATACAATCCATTTCTAAACCCACACTGATCTCACCTGAACTCTTTGGGAAATATATTTTATTACATTTCTTTAAAGTCAAATAATACAATTCCAGCAGGAAAAAAAAATCATCATTAAAATGCAATGTTGCAAGCATTAAATGCATTAAAATACACATGAGTTCAGTATGTGGAAAATTCTGTTTTTATAAACTTAAGAGGAATTTGCTTACAAAAAAAATTGTAAGGGCTGCATGTTAGAACACATTTTTTTAAAGCTAAGGGGTAAATAAAAACTGGAGAGAGGAGATTCACAACCAACATTTCAGACAAAGATATTTTTCCTAACATATTTTAAATAAGCAAGAAAAAGAATATAGTAAAAAATAAAAGATTGAGCCCAAGGAAGCTTAGCACAATGGCTCATGCCTGTAATCTAGCTACCCAAGAGGCTGAATTCTGAGGATCATGGTTTGAGGCCAACCCAGGAAGACAGAGCCAAAAGCTTCATCTACAGGTAATCAGTAAAAACCTAGAAAAGAGCTGTGTCTTAAGTGGTAGAGCACCAGCCTGAGCAACAAAAGGTAAGGGAGCACGCAAAGCCCTGAATTTAAGCCCCAGCATGCGCATGCACGCACACATTTGCACACACACACACATTGGGGTATATAATAGATAACTCAAGGTGGGTGCTGGTAGCTCATGCCTGTAATCCTAACTACTTGGGAAGCTGTGATCTAAAGATCCCGGTTCAAAGCTAGCCTGGACACGAAAGTCTGTGAGACTCTTATCTCCAATTAATCACTAGAAAACCAGAAACAGAGCTGTAAGCTATTGTAGAGAACTCAGATTTATTCCAGGTTCCGGACAGCAGCTCTGCTGTGTGCGGAAGTGTGTTGTGCCAGCTTTACGCGGTGATGTGGGGGTCACAGCCCAGAGCCCCTGTTCTCGCTACTTCTGCGACAGCGGTGCTGGGCCCAGGTTAGACGCCAAGGGAACACCAGGTTCCACTGAAAATGGAGTGAACTTCCTGACTCTGGGGCATCTGCAGGAAGCCATAACAGTGGAGGTGCCGCTGTCCTCATCCCTCTGAGACATCTCCAACGCCAGACACCCACACAGCCCGGCTGGAAATCCCGGTGCAACTTGGTCCTCAGTGGAGAGAGTGCCAACAAAATGAGTTTCTAAGATAATAGGAACCACAAAGCGTCTACATGGACGCAGCCACCACACAGACAATGTTAAAGAAATACTTTTCATGGAAATTAATGAGGGCATAATCATCCCTAAAGTGTTTGTTGAATGATATAACTGGATTAGGTGTAAATGGAATGAACAGACCTACATGTGATATTATTCATGCACAAGATAGAAAAAAATACTACGAGAAGCATTCTAAGTTCAGTCTATAGTAAGCTAGAAAGCAGTTTAAATTCTATGTCAGCTTTACCTATGAGAAAACTTACCATCCCAATTTGTTTCATTCACCCTGGCAAAAAAGCATCTCTGACTTATTTTATCCTGAACCTGTACATTGAATTCTCTGTTGGGTGGATCTGGATTTTTTTTATTTTTTTATTATGAAAATACAATACAGAGGCATGGATTTGGATTTTTAAAAAGAAGTTTTAGGCAGTACAGTGGAATATGTTTTTATTATTTATTTTTGGTTTATGTGATACTAAGGAATCAAACCCAGGGCCTCATGCATGCTAGGCAAGCACCCTACCACTAAGCCACATTTCTAGCTTCTTGGATTTTTTTTTTAACATTTACTTTTCAGTATCTGGTTTTTAAAGGAAGGGGGACAGGGCAGGGCGGGTGGGGGGTAGGATTCACCATCACAGCAGGCCCCAAACTTGAGAGAAGTATCAGGAAGGTCTTAGAAGAGGAATTCCTTCTCCATCCCAACAGCTCAGCTACTCCATCAGGACTGGGGTGAGAGGGCTGGGCGCTGCTGGAACAGGTCACATGGCTGATCTGGGGTGAACTTGTTTTGTGAAGAAACACATGATTTCTAGCTCTGAAGCTGTTGTTCCTCTAATGCTGTTAAAAGCCATTCCAAAGGGACAAGCAACAGAAAAGAACATTGTGAATAGACTGCAGAGGAATGGAGTTCTCCCCCACCTCTTCGGGGATATTATAAGCATCTTACAAAGGGGGTCAGATTCTGTTTCTTCCTCTCCACGATACCACTGTAGTTTGTATATTGGCCATATCACTAATGAGGATTTATAACTCCCAAAAATGCCACAAAAAAAAAAAATTAGGACTCCTTCACAAACATGCACTGTCTTAAGCCATAATTTTTTTCTGCAGTGGAAGCAAAGCCACACATCCTTTTCATATCCTACTGTTTGCACAGAAGGTGAAGTACTGACAGAAATGAAAAAGAATTGCGAGGTCAGCATTAATGTAAAACAGGCCAACCCCTGTTGAGGGTGTTTATAACTCAACAGTGCCCCCTAGTGTTATACAAATTAGCATGAACCCAAGATGCAAAATCTAAGGAAAGGTAAACTAGTAGACATTAATGCATATATCTGGTTCTCCCCCTACTTTTTGACTTATTTTTTGTTATTTTTAAAGTTGTAAAAAGGGGGCACTTGTTCTTTTAAGCTATCAAAAATGCTTTAAGGTGAGGTTACACACATACAAATAATAATAATAATAATAGGGCATACCATAATAATAATAATAATAAGTCATTCTAAAAGGCCAGACTCAGGTGAGAGAGAATAATGTCAAAGTTTGTAGAAAGAAAAGCCACAGTAATCAAAACAGCTTGGTATTGGCACAAGAACAGACCTGAGGACCAATGGAATAGAACTGAAACCCACAAATGAACCCACAGACCTGTAGCTACCTAATCTTTGATAAGGGAGCTAAAAAAAAAATAGAATGGAAGAAAGACAGCCTCTTCAGTAAATGGTGCTGGCAAAATCGGTTAATCACCTGTAGAAAACTAAAGCTAGATCCTTATATATCACCCTGCACCAGAATCAATTTCAAATGGATCAAAGACCTCAGAGTCAAAGCAGATACTCTGAAAACATTACAGGACAGAATAGGAGAAACCCTAGGACTCCTTGGCACAGGCCAAAATTTTCTTAATAGAGACCCAGAAACACAACAAATCAAAGAAAGGTTGGACAAATGGAATTACATGAAGCTGCAGAGCTTCTGCATGGCAAAGACATAGCAAGCAAGATCAATAGAAAGCCCACCAATTGGGAGATCTTCACTAGCCATACAATGCATAAGGGTCTCATATCTAAAATATACTTGGAACTCAAAAAATTAAATCCCCCAACAACACATTCTCAAAGAAACAACTGCCCAATAAATAAGTGGCCTAAGACTTAAAGAGAAACTTCTCTGAAGAAGAAACAAGAATGGCTAATAGACACATGAAGAAATGCTCAACTTCTCTAGCCATAAAAGAAATGCAAATCAAAACAACATTGAGATTCCACCTCACCCCAGGTAGAATGGCTATAATCAAGAACTAATAACAACAGATGCTGGAGGGGATGTGGACAGAAGGGAACCCTACTGCATTGTTGGTATGCGTGTAAACTTGTTCAACCACTTTGAAAAGCAGTATGGAGGTTCCTCAAAAGACTCCACATAGAGCTCCCCTATGACCCAACAATCCCTCTTTTGGGCATATACCCAAATGACCACAAACAAGACTATACTAAAGCTACCAGCACAACTATGTTTATTGCAGCATTATTTACCATAGCTAAGATATGGAATCAACAGAGATGCCTCTCAGTAGATGAATGGATCAAGAAAATGTGATACACACATACACACACACACACACACACGCTGGAATTCTATGTCTCTATCAGAAAGAATGACATTGCCCCATTTGTTAGGAAATGCAAAGACTTGGAAAAAATTATATTAAGTGAAGTAAGCAAGGCCCAAAGAAACATAGGTCCCATGGTTTCCCTTATTTGCAAAAACTAGTATATGTCTGGGACAAGCAGAAAAGGTCAAAAGCTATGTACATATGAGCAGATAATGTTAACTGAAAAATGAACCCCAAGATAGGGAGACAAATTTTTTTTTCTTTCTTGCTATTGTTTGTAATGTATTTATAATGTACCATGTGATTTTTTTTGTTTCTTTGTATGTTCCTCCCCCACGGTATAACCCCTGTTTTCACTGTATTTGATGTTGGTGCCCTGCATTTCGTATATACACTTCTCTAATTGGGGGAGGGGAAGGGAAAAAACAAAATGCTTAAATAGGGATACAGGTTGACCCATTGTAACAATGAGACATACAAGACACTATATTGAAAAATAGGAAGTAGGAAGGAAGGGATGGTAGGGGAAAAACAAAGGAGGAGGTAACAATGCTTGATAGGAAATGTATTCATTACCTTGCTCATGTAACTGTAACCCCTCTATACAATATTTTTACAATAAAAAATCATATAAAAAGTACAAATAAACATTTTGAAAGAGGAGAGAGAAGGAGATAAAAGAGGAAAATAGACTCTTAACAGCCTACAGAGAATATCATCTAAGGGAAAAATAACTATCAAGAACTTGGGGAATGATGGCCTGGCGTTTTCTCTGGCCAATACCCTGTTTTTGGCTAGTTTTCTTGAAAGACAGCTCTCATCATCAAAATTCCCTTGACCACCTGCTAGCATTGGGAGCCTCTGGACAGCACACTTTGAAGTTTTCTGTACCATGAAGGATGGTCTTGTTCCTCTAAGGCCCCTAAAATTTGAAAAATGGTCCTTACTTCAAAGGTCATAGCTCTTGCCAGAAGTTTCTGATCCCAAAAGAATGTATAGCATTTTGATAACTGTTGTTGTGAATCCAGATGAGAAGATACTAAGGCAAGCTGAAGGATTTGCCTAACAATCCTGGAGACTGCCATGAGAAATCAAGGGATTTCTCTTGCTAGACCTACATACACAGCATCCATCTGGCATTTCTGTTCTCATAGTTCATTCTCTTCTTGTTTCACCAAGAATTTAGATTCATGTCTTTTCCCTTCTTTGTTTTAATCCTCTTTTCAACTTTCACTTTATAGCTTTGAAGAGTTCTGAGAATACTACTTTATCACAGTATCCTAAACAATGGGAGAGGTGAAAATGAAGCCTTCTGGAATAAGAGAAACCCCCATAGGTATTCACTAGCTGCATTCGAACTAAGCTAGAGAAGATGTGTGGTCCATCTTACTTAAATGTATTATGTATTCTTTTCTTCCTGTTTTGATATCTTAAAAAAATGAAGCCAGGGATACTTACCTATAATCTCAGCACTCAGGAGGCTGAGGTAGGAAGATCCTGAGGACAAATTGGGCTATTTTGTCAGAAAGAAAAGAAAAGAAGGAAGGAAGGAAGGAAGGAAGGAAGGAAGGAAGGAAGGAAGGAAGGAAGGAAGGAAGGAAGGAAGGAAGGAAGGAAGGAAGGAAGGAAGGAAGGAAGGAAGGAAAAGAAAGGACAGAAAGGAAAGAAAAGGAAAGGAAGAAAGCTTTGGGAGACTTTTGAGATAAAATCAGCCATATTTTGATTATTATATTCAATATTCCATTTTCCAAAGTCTGTGTTCCATTTTAAAAGTCTGCCTTTTGAATCACTGGGGCTTGTTAAAGCTGCTGTTTTCAGGACTATCTTTAATAAAAGCAACATCACTAAGAATTAATAGTTTGTTTTTGCTTCACTAAAGTAAACAGATATGTGGCAATTCTAAACAGAGAGAATAAAGCTGATAAAGACTAGCAAATGTCATCCAAACTTCAAACATGGAAAGACTGAGTAAGAGGACAGTGAAGCATGCTTGGCCCTTGACTATGGAACAAATAGGAATTACTCAAGAAAGGAATTGGTGTGTCTTCAAACACATTACCCAGCAATATTAAAATGGGCATAGTCTTGCAATGGAAGACCACACCAAAATTTAAAGCTATTTAAATGAAGACGCATTCAACTGGAGGGAAGGCATGTTTTGGGAGAAGGCAAACACATTGGTACTGTATATGAAGCACAGCTACATTGTTCATACAAATCCTCTTCCTGAGAATTCAGAATTGAGATATCCTGAATGCTCAGCCCCCTGAGATCCCAATACTGGTTTTCTCCCAGCTTCCACTGCTCCATGCTGATGACACCTTGAGGTTCTGTCCCTTTCCTGTCTATCAGGCTCAGCACATCTCTAGCTGGATAATTTGCAATTTCACCCTAGTTCTCATCTTTGTACCCAGGATGGGAGATAGGGGCAGATCTTGATAGAGGCACAAGTTATCTTAAAGAGAAGAGTCTGCTGAAGCATCTTCAGGCAAGGAGGCCAGATAAGCCCTTTCAAAGGAGAGGAGGCCTCTTACGCAGGCTCTAATGACCTGGAGAAATCTGGAGATTCAAGACTCTCAGGAATCATCAAGTAGGGTCCTGCTCTTTCCTAATGTTGGCACTACAGACTTGTCTTGGTTTAGGTCCACAACTCTCACATGTAATTCTTGGCCTTGGTCCTTTGCTTTCTCTGCCTTCCAGCTGTAAGAGTTATAGATCTCCATAAAATACCATACCTAGTTTGTAATTTCCAATTAGTGTTTCTTCACTGACAACACTCATATTGGAGTAAGACTGACCCAAATGGTGGGTCTTCATTTAACTGAGTTGCCTCCTTAAAGCCTTGTTCTCCAATGTAGTCTGAGGTACAAGGAAAATTCAGCCCATAACACTAGGTGGTTCTCCAACACAATGAAACTCGGGCATTGGAACAGCATCGCATAAGGTCTAGGTAGATAGATAGATGCACACCAAATGGATTATGTATTGCCAGTAAAACTCTGATTGGCTGCTGCCCCATCAACCACATTTTAGATAAATGTGGTAGAAATATTCACTATTACTTGGCATATATGGATTTCTGTCAGCGTTATACTGTTTGCATAAACTGAAAAAAAAGAGGCTGGATGAAACAGGAAGGCAGTCAAAAAATATACTACACGATATTGCACAAATGGTTTCACAGGAATAGATCTATTTGTTGACCATGCAGCTCAAATAAAAACAAAACAGGAAATCATTTGAATAAGGTCCTTGGAAAATATCTGCATGCAGTATGTCACCCACAGCCCTGTGAATCCCTGCCTTGCTTACATCACCACGCTCTTCCTCACATGTGAATTCCATCCAGCGCTAACTTTTGCCTGTGGCTGAGTGAGAGCAAATTCTAGTGGGGAAATGGGAAAGGACTTTGATGAAATACTTTCCTTCTAGAAGCACTCCGTGACTCCACAAACTAATTCCACGTGGAGTGGTACGTTCCATCTAACATGATCCGCTATGGTGGATGGTCGCTCTGACTCCTGCAGCAACACACAGATCCCTCTACTTTTTCTTGATTAGGGCACAGTCTACTAGGCCAGGTGGAAGTCACTGTTCTGGAGACAGTTGGGTGTTAGAGAGCTTCGTTATAATTTAGGACTCCAGAGGTATAAACAGCACACAGTTTGAATATGACCCAGCAGGACTCTGCTCTGTGGGCAGACTCAGTTGAGTGAGCATGGGAAAAGACCATTGTGACTTGTTAGTAAGAGAACTTTTCTTCTCAGGAAGTTTCCTTAGGGAAAATGGAAGTGGAAGGGAAATTGACTTCAGCACTGAGTAGCACTAGAGCTTTGAGAGCTGAGGAAGGCTCAGAATACAGGAGATCCTTAGAATCCATGGATTCCAAGGACACACCACTGGGGAAAATCCATGAGCATTCAAGATGCAAAGTTCAGGGTTCTAACTTGAAACCGCATGGTGTGGTTGAACACTATTCCCAAAAAGCAGACTTTATTTCATGCTCTTTGTCTCGAGAGAATGCTTGATTTCATTTTCCCCATAACCCAACTTCTGTCATCTTTCCACTTGAAAGCCTTTTAAGACCCAAGCACCTTCACTGGCCCTCGCTTTGGGGGCCGCATCTGACCTTTTCTGGGTTTTCGTTTGAACTCAAGACTTCACACTTGATGGGTGTCCCGTGAGCCATACATCCATGCTTTTTTTTTTCTCCTCTGGTGATTGTTGAGATTGGGTCTCACTTTTAGACTGTACCTGGTCCATGATCCTCCTATTTTATACTTTTCCTTCTGTAGCTGGGATGACAGACACACACCACTATACTCAGCTAGTGTTGGGATGAGGTCTTAGGACCTAATTTTCCCATGATCTTCCCAATCACAGTTTCCCAAGTAGTTGAGATGACATGTATGAGCCAGCGTGCTTAGCTACCATTTGCTTTGGGGGAGGCATATTTTCACCAAATTAAGTGTATGAAAACACTCAGGGGAACCACACAATTTAAACATGACTGACCATGCCCAGGACTGACTGAGAGCTTCTCTGCTTCAACTGCCTGTGTGTGCCAATAGCTCACGCTTGCAATCCTAGCAACCCAGGAGGCTGAGATCTGAGGACTGCAGTTTGAAGTCAGCTCAGGCAGCAAAGTCCATGAGTCTCTTATCTCTAATTAACCACCTAAAAGGCAGCAGTGGAGCTGTGGCTCAAATGATAGAAGGCTAGCCTGGAGCACAAAAGCTCGGACATAGTGCCCCAGTCTGTGAGCCCCAGGACCTCCACACACACATACACACACACACACACACACACACACACACACACACACACACACACACACACACACACACACCAACAAAAGTGCTGTTTACAAGCTTAAGTAATTTTTTATATTCCAAATACTTTGAAGTTTCATAGGGAGTTCAGAGTGATTGAAATAATCTTTCTATTGAAAACTATGGACTTTGATCCTGTAAGTGTGGCCCTTATACTCCCTACAGGAGTCTTTTCTGGGGTGTTTGTGACAGTACACTTTTTAGGCCCATCCCAGAACTATCCAATCAGAATTACTGAAAGGGAAACCCAGGAGTCTGTGTTTATAACAAGTTCTACAAGTTGATCTTAGGCACACAAAAACCATCAGGTGGTTACACAATGCCTTCTCCTTGCTTTATCCTTCCTGACATTCCCAGAACGGAAGGCCCATGCCTTTGCAGGGAAAGTGTCCATCACCCTCTGCACTGCCACTCCCCGCCTCTGCTACAGCAGGAATCAGCAGAGGAGAATGCCACTCCTTATTATCCTGGATTATAGAGGATTGTCCATACCTAGGGTGGAGCCTGTAGGTGAACACAAAGGGATAATACAAGTCTAGTAAAGCAGACACAAGCATCATGCAATAGATTCAGTTAGCATAAACCAGAACACAAGTTACTGGCATAGCCGTACACAGACTGAAGGGATCTCTGTGTAGCCCAGAGTTAAAATTCTCAGTGCATGGTGGGATTATTAGGTCATTGTCAGAAATGCTTTTTACTCTCTCTTCTCCCCCAGAATCTGCCCTGTATCCTCTCTCTGCCCTCCAAGTTGTGGGAAGAGGTTTTGGGGATCTATGAAAGTTAATGTTTGAATACAGATTAATTCTCAAACCTTAGGAAGGCTGGCACCTATCCTTGCCCAATTTTTCCTTCAGTGGCTCCATGCTCTTTCCAGGTTTCATAAAACATTGCCCAGTTGCATAGGTGTCAGTGTGGTCCAACAGCCTTGGGTGATTGTGGAAGACATTGCTTTTTAATAAAATGCTAGCGGTACCTGAAGAAACTACAAATGACTTCATTTCTTGAGAACTGGTAAGATGAGGCTGGCACTCTAGAGTAAATGCAACCATTTACTGGTGAGTTCGAGTTTGGAAGTCTTCCCAAGTCTATACTCTGGATCTGTTTTTCCAGTGTTAGAATTACTTATTCCTTGAATATTCAGTAAAACATAAGATTCTTGGTGGAAACATTTTTTTTTGGGGGGGGGGTGTCCAATCGTGGGGCCTGAACTCTGGGCCTGGGCGCTGTCCCTCAGCTCTTCAGCTCAAGGCTAGCGCTCTACCACTTGAGCCACACCGCCACTTCCAGCTTTTTTTCTTTTTGCTTATGTGGTGCTGAGGAATCAAACCCAGAGCTTCAGGCATGCAAGACAAGTGCTCTACCACTGAGCTACCTTCCCGGCCCTGCTTGGTGGAAACATTTTTAACTATGGAGTAAGAAGACTCTCAGGGATTCTCTTTTTGACTGAGTTGTTACATTTTTTTCTAGTAACATTGTCTATTTCATCTAATCTTTCAAAGGTTTTGAGATCATTGATGTCCACAGTAATTTATTATTGTAATAAAATGTATCATTTTAGACATCTTAAAAACTATACAATTCACCAAGCACTGGTGGCTCATACCTATAATATTCACACAATAATTACTTCCTACTTCAATAATGCCTTATGAGGAGGTTGGGGGCAGGGAGGAAAAAGAGAGACACTGCAACCCACCATTCCAGAAGGTTCTATTCATGTTGAGATCACTCACCTTCCAGAAACACTTACTTTCTTTCTCACGAATTCATTCAGACTGTACCTAATGTTATCAGTTAAATATATCTAGAAGATTCATATTTCTGAGAATAAAGGAATACTAAAATCCAATGATGCTAGCATATTTTTTTTTCTTTTTGTCGGTCATGGGCCTGAACTCTGGGCCTGGGCGCTGTCCCTCAGCTCTCCAGCTCAAGGCTAGCACACTTCCACTAGAGCCACAGCACTACTTCCAGCTTTTTCTGCTTATGTGGTGCTGAGGAATCAAACTCAGGGCCTCATGCATGCAAGGCAGGCGCTCTACCACTGAGCCACCTTCCCAGCCCCAATGCTAGCATTTTCAAATAAGGAACTGAAACCATTCATGGAATGCTTGAATCCCCTCTATGAACAGACCAAATATGGATTCTGTTTTTGAGCACCCTTGTCAAGTTCATCAGATATGACCAACTGAATCACTTGACATACGCTTTCACTCCCAGTATACTCTTATCTGGATCATGATAACTTACATCAAGTACAGTGCCAAAGGCCCATGACAGAGATGTCCAGGATATTTCCCTTATTTACCTGTCTCCATTGCCTGTCTCCATATTAGCCTTTGTGCTACATCCTCCATTCATAAAGTTCTTAATACAATGAACTGAAACACGGAGAGAGATACCTCCAAACAAGTGACACCACAAATACTTACCACACTATAAATCATGAACAATGCTTTTAAAAGCAGCAAGAGAAAGGACAATGTATTCATGAAACTAAGAAGTCTGGCCTGTATAAGAAAAGGAAGTGAATGGTAAGAAAGCAAATTATTAAAGTCTTCATATTCATAATAACGACATCAAACATTAGGGTAATGATAACTGCTATGGATTTATAATCAGATTTTTCCAATGTATTAAGGCAATGGAAAACTGTTAAGGACTTTGAGAAATTACATGACTGGATTTTTCTAAAGCATAAATAGGGTTATGAAATCACTCATAGAAGACAGGCTTATTCTGCTCTGGGAAGTAATTTCACCTTCTCTGTCAAATGAATCCCTCTCTGAAGATCCCATAAAGAAGTCCTGGCATGGTGGCACACACCTGTAATCTTAATTACATAGGAGGTGGAGGTGGGATCACGATCTAAAGCTTGATTCCAACAAAAGCCTAAGCTCCTATCTGAAAAGTAAATGAAAGCAAAAAGGGTGGAAGCTACAGCCCAAATGGTAGCGGCAACTGTCCAGTCTTTGAATTTAAACCCCAGTACTGATGAAAAAAAGAAAGAAAGAATGCTCTAAAATCATCTCTTCTGATTTGCATATAAATAACAATTGTAGTAACTATTGGTTGAGATGTTACTAAATGTAAGGAAATAGTTTGCTAGTAGTTAACTTCAGTATGGAATACAAGGAATAGAATATATTTATGTTTATATACATCTATTTGTTATTCACAAATAGCTTTGTAGAGCTGTGTCCAATACTGTCTGAGCCAAGAGAAGCGAGGAATCTATTTGCCAGGTTTTTACCTAGGTCCTCTTCTGCCATCTGAGGCATTTCTATTGTTTTATCACCCCAGTCAGGTTCATGTTTCTATTCGGTTTTACTATCCCACTATGGTTCATGTCCTAGTCAGAAATAATTGGCTTCATGTCAATCTACAGATTAATTCCAGGTGTTTCATCTCTGTGTCTCTGCGTTCTTAAGCTACATGCATTTAAGTAACAACATTGACTGCTTCTGTAGGTCTGGCTATTCCTACTTATACTTGGCACCACACACAACAAATTCCAGGAAGCAGACAATCTAGCTCTACACCAATCTAATATGCCACTCGAATCTAATATAAAATTTTACTCAAAATAAAATTGAAAGCTGGTGCTGGTGGCTCATGCTTGTAATCCTAGCTACTCAGGAGGCTGAGATCTGAGGATCGCAGTGCAAAGCCAGCCCAGGCAGGAAAGTCCGTGAACCTCTGATCTCTAATAAACCACCAGAAAACTGGAAGTGGTGCTGTAGCTCAAGTGGTAGAGCACTAGCCTTGAGCTGAAGAGCTGAGGGACAGCACTCAGGCCCAGAGTTCAAGCCCCATGACCAACAAAAAAAAAAAAATTGAACTTGCCAAGGGGATTGTGGCACTTGAGGTACCTAAGAAGAAAAATACTCTTAGGGAAAGTATTTTCTTGTCATAGGCTGGGAAGGTGGCTCCGTGGTAGAGTGCTTGCCTTGCATGCGTGAGGCCCTGGGTTGGATTCCTCAGCACCACCTAAGCAGAAAAAGCCAGAAGTGGTGCTATGGCTCAGTGGTAGTGTGCTAGCCTTGAGCTGAAGAGCTCAGGGACAGCGTCCAGGCCCAGGCCCCACGACTGGAAAAAAAAAAAAATTCCTTGTCAGCTCTCAGTAAATGCTTAGATGTTTGCAAAGCAAATTGGCTTCCTTGCCTTTGTTATTCCTTCATCATGATTTTCATGGTGGTACTTTATTCACAAGTAAAGAAATTGTGTTATTAATTTATCCAGTAACTTCATTAATTTCCAAAGGATCGCTTATACACATTAAAGGCCCGAAATAATAGAAACATTTGCCTTTGTGAAGTCAATCATCCATTGAAGAAAAACTAGAAACATGCATGAAAAAGACCTTAATATACAGATGGGATGGAGTCATAGAAGTAAACAGAATTTGCACAAATGTCTATATGTTTAGAAAAGCAATGTTGTCAGACAAACAAATTAAACAGACAACATTGGATCCTTACTCAAGAAGACAAGAAGTTTTAGTCAGGAGTTGGGATTAGCAAGAATATCAGGGAAACTCTACGATGTAGCAGAATAAGTTCTGGCTGAGGAGTCAAAAGATGCTGTCATCAAAGTTTTGCAGCTCTGTAATGTTGACCAAGTATTTGATTTTTGCTTCTCTTTCATAATCAAGACCAACCTTTACTGAGGTTTGTTGTTGTTGTTGTTTCTTTATATTTCTACCCTATTCAAGAAAGAATTTAAACAAAGAAATTTCTTCTGGCACTCAAATTCACTGACTCAAAGTTTACTGAAATTCTCTTCTTGAGAAAATATTCAATGACTCTAAAGTTCAGATTCTCAAGACAGGCACTAGTAGCTCACATCTGTAATCCTAGCTACTCAGGAGGCTGAGATTTGAGGATCACAATTCAAAGCCAGCCTGGGCAGAAAATTCATGAGACTCTTACCTTCAATTGTGTAGGTATGCCAGAAGTGTAGGTGTGCCTCAAGTGGTAAAGCACCAGCCCTGAGCAAAAAAGCCAAGGGATAGTGCCCAAGCTCTGAGCTCAAGCCACAGGCCTGGCAAACATGCAAAAAATTTCTTACAACCATAAAACCCCAAAGACAGGACACATTGATAAGTGAATACTGAAATCAACTATTATCCATAGTCAATTGCTTTTTTATAACTGCACAGTAATGCTTCATAACTCACTGAGGTAAGGTTCAAGTCAGAGTCTATGGAATTGTACAGGGTCTACAGTCCCTCATGAGTTCCATCAAGGGCACACCTTTAACAAAACCACAGGCCCCACAAAGCTTGTCAGAAACATTCTTGTGTTTGAGGCAATGGTAGATGTCCCAGTAATTTTTTTCACAGCATCTCTGACCTCTTTGTTTCTTAAACTATAAATTATGGGGTTCAATGTAACAGTGAGCACCCCATAAAGTAATGTGATGATTTTGTCTATTTCTTGTGACTTTGATGAAGAAGGCTTCAGGTACATGGAGAGAGCAGCCCCATAATATAAGATCACCACCGTCAAGTGTGCACCACAAGCAGAAAGGCTTTGCTTCTTCCCTCTGCTGTGCTGATCCTCAGAATAGTAGAAAGGATGATGATACAAGAGAGACAAATTAAGAGCACCGGAATGGACAGGAGGATAATGCTCACCACTAACTAACATGACCATGTCTGTGAGCAGTGAACTTGTACAAGCTAACTTGAGCATTGCCAGGATTTCACAGGTGAAGTGACCAATGAGATTCCCACAGAGGGGTGTCTGCAGGGCAAAGCTGGTTTCCAGCAGGGCAATCAGACAGCCCATCACCCAAGAGACAGCTACCATCTGCACACAGACTTGCCTGTTTATGATAATGGAGTATCTCAGTGGTTTGCAAATGGCAACAAGCAATCATCCGCCATCACAGCCAGAAGCACACAGCCCATGGCAAGGGACCTGTACATCTGTGCAGCACACCCAGAAAAGAGGATGGTATTCTGTGATGACAGCAAGATGACCAATAAAGTAGGAAAAAAGCAGATACGTAACAAATATCTATGGAAGAGAGATTTCTAAGAAACAAAAACATGAGAGTTTGGAGGTATGAATCTAAGACAGTGATTAAAATGAGAGTGCTGAGCTGGGCGCCGGTGGCTCATGCCTGCAACCCTAGCTACTCAGGAGGCTAAGATCTGAGGATCACAGTTCAAAGCCAGCCTGGGCAAGAAAGTCTGTGAGACTCTTATCTCCAATAAACCACCAGAAAACCGGAAGTGGCAGTGTGGCTCAACTAGTAGAGTGACAGCGCCCAGACCCAGAGTTCAAGCCCCAAGACCAGGAGGGAAGTCAGATACATTATAAGGCTGAACAAAGAGAAAAATATGTTGTCTCGGGTACTGGGATAATCCTTCCAAGAAAAAGAAAAAAAAAAAAAAAAAAAGCTCCAAGCAGTGAATTTTCCCCTAGCATTTTCTCACTTGGACGTATTCTAGTAATGCTCTCTTCAAGTCATCTGAGGACATAAACAAATGGATAAAGTATAATGGTTGTACAGTTAGAAAAGCACTACTATATAAACACATTCTCACAAGTATCAAAAGAGAGGGTATTTATTTGGCTTAAGAGGGGATCTATTTGATTCCTCTGTAACAACATTAAGAGAACAGTGAATCAGAAAACAAAAGCAAATGAAATTAATATATCAATCTCAATTTGTAGTCTATCCTTGGCATGCTAGTCTTTTAATATAGATGTGAAAGTTATAGAATGAGGAAAATGCTTATTGAACAAATTATTGAGCACAAATAAGAAATGTAAGCCAGGTAAGTGAGGGAGTGAAAGCTTATCATGTACAATGGAAAGGAGTCATGATATTCACTGGAAGAAAAGAAACATTGACAGATAATTGAGCAGATTTTGAACCAACAGCTATGAAGTTCTGGGTCTGAATGAGCATTGTTCTTCCCAGCTAACAGCTGTGTCTCTGTCCACTTGTTTCAAATAGAAAGGCTTTGCTTAAAGTACCATGGTTACATTTAAGGACTGTTTATAAATCACACGAAATTACCTACCTCATTTAAACACTGGTAGTGTCCACTACATGGTTTCCATAGCCTTATGAGCAGGTAAAGAGTTCTAAAAAGTGGGACTGGGAAGGTGGCTCAGTGGTAGAGTGCTTGCCTTGCATGCATGAGGCCCTGGGTTCGATTCCTCAGCACCACATAAGCCAAAAAGATAAAAAGCTGGAAGTGGCACTGTGGCTCAAGTGGTAGAGCGCTAGCCTTGAGCTGAAAAGCTGAGGGACAGCGCCCAGGCCCAGAATTCAGGCCCCACGACCAGACCTCCCCCACTGAAAAAAAAAAAAACAGTTCTAAAAAGTATGCACAAATAATACCCTTCTTAATACATTACAACCCGTGAATATCAAGGAAGGGCAGAGATTAAACTCCCTTAGAAAATGCCAAGTTGTCATGGAAAATAGAAGATCATATATTTTAAAAACATTTAAGGTTTTATATTTACATTATTTTGTATTATAAAATTATTCCCAAAGACTTACCTAGCTTTTGTACCTTCAAACTTTTCTTTCGCCACTGTTCATCTCCTTAAATATCTCCTTAAATACAGTCATGCAGGTGGCCACCCAACCCTTCACAAATAGCTAGCAATGTAATAGTTCATGCTCAGCTTTCCTATTCTTGCTATTCTTTTCTTGTTTCCCAATTTCAATTTAATCATTTTTCTTCCCTATTCACCAGGCTAGATAGTGGGGGTGAAATAGTAATGTTATGACAGTATCTTACTTTATGAAAGGTGCATAAAAATGTTTAAATAATTTCCATGATTTTACAGTGGGAACATTCCCTTCTGGATGTCATGTTCACTGTTAATAAGTCCTTCGCTCTTTTGTTTTTCTGTGTAAGTCATTAGTCTCCAAGCAGCTTACACTGTAGGTCTGGACACCATGTGTAATACTGAACGGCACCTTAGTATTTAAGGAAATACTTGTCGGCATTATTTCCCTCTGCGATGATTGAATGTCCAGTTTGTGCTTTGCTTCTCAAGTTCCATTTCCCCCCCTCCATCAATATAGTTGATCTTTATTTATTTCTTAACAGATTATTTCTTACAGATTTTTCTGCATGGTTTTCTATTGAACAGTATACTGTTGTGAAAACAAAATTAATTCTATAGGTTTGCCTATTGTGGACATTTCATATAACTGAATCATAAACTGTCTTCTTTCATTTAACATCTATTATCAAGATCCATTCGTGTTTTCCCATTTCATTCTTACATTGCCAAATAATTGCCTGGATGTGCCACTTTTAATTTCTACCATTCAGCAGTTGGTATTTTTACTATTTCAAATTTTTAGCTATTATAATGTTGCTACGAACATTCATACAGTGTATGTTTTTCTGTGGAGATGCATTTTCATTTCTCTTGGATACCTAGGAATAGTTTCTACATTGTTAGGTCTATGTTTAAACGTTTGAGGAACTACCATATTGGTCCGAAAGTAGCTGCACCATTTTACAATGAGGATTACAATCTCTCCATTTCCTACCAACACACTGTTACTAGTTATCCTGGTGTATTCAGAGTAAATTCTCACTGTTTGAGGTTTGCAACTATATAATTAGTATTGCCTTGCAGCACTTCTTTATATGCTTATTCATTATCTTCTTTGAATAAATAGATGCAGATCCAGATGCTTAGTCCATTTTAAAAACTGGGTAGACCTTTTTATGATTCCATTGTAAGAACACTTCATATATTGTGTGTATGTATATAGGTGTATAGATTTGTATATATTATCTATATATATACATACAAATCCACTGCCAGATTATCTGATTTGCAAATAAGTTTCCCTGTGAGTTCTTTTTAATATCTTGACAGTATGTTTTGAAAATGCCAAAGCAGAAAAGATACCCTTAGAATTGCAAGGCATATGGTTTTCCATTTGTGAAATTACTTTAGTTTCCAAAATTAAGGATGTTTATTGTCTTAATTCACTAATAAATCACTGAATGTCTCAACAAGATATCAGACATTTTGTTCAATATACACATTTTTTTTTTTGGTCAGTTGTGGGGCCTGAACTCTGGGCCTGGGTGCTGTCCCTCAGCTCTTCAGCTAAGGCTAGCGCTCTGCCACTTGAGCCACAGCACCACCTCTGTCTTTTCTGCTTATGTGGTGCTGAGGAATCAAACCCAGGGCCTCATGCATGCAAGGCAAGCACTCTACCACTGAGCCACCTTCCCAGGCTCAAGATACACACTTTTTACTCAAAATATCCACAAATTTTATTCAATATATTTTCAATGTACATATAAAATCTTATTAGCAATGGACATGCCTACAATCAACTTTCATATATTTTCAATTTCTTAATTGAGCTTTGGTGTCATGTCTAAGAAGTGTTTGCTCAACTCTAAATTATAAAGATTACTTCATTTTTCTTCTAATATTTTTATGAGTTCTTATATTTAAATCTGATCCAGTTTGAGATTTTTGTACACAGTGTGAAGGATTTCATTCATTCATTTGTAGGTAAATATCCAGTTGGACTATTTGTTGAACAGACTGCCCTCTCTGTTGAATGAAATTTGATATCTTGTTGAAAATAAATCAGCACAAGGATTTGGTTCTATTACTTTGTTTGATTTTTATGTCTATCCTTATGTCAAGTACTACATAAGACTTGATTACCAGGGATCAACAGTAAATTTGGACATGAAACACTATGAATAATCCAACTCTTCTTTTTCAGTGTTTTGACTAACCTGGGTCCCTTGCATCCCATATGAATTTTAGGATTAGTTTGAATTTTAGGACTAGTCAGTTTCTGCAAGGCATCCAGGTAGAATTTTGGTAGAAATTACACTTTCTCTCTAGATTTGGAGAATTGCCATCTTAACATCAAATATTTGATCCTGAACAATAATGTGTTTGCAGTTGGTTGTCTTCTGTAATTTAAGAAAGTGCTGATCTCCAGAACAAGTGCTTTTCCTCTTGTTTCATCACTTGTTCCTATTATTTTCAAATAATTATCTATTTCAAATAAAACTTTTCTTAAGCTATAGGTTGCCCCGTGGCGCTTTATAAAGTTGACATCTGTAAATTAATCCGGTACTCTCAACCTTGTTGAACTGATTTACTAATCCTCTGTTTTTGTTTTTTAATTCCTTTAGTGTTTTCTATACAAAAGTGTTGCCTGGGAACATTTTAATTCTTTTCCAAACTGGATGCCCTGTATTTCATTTTCTTGACTAATCTCCCCAGTAGAGTGTTGGATAGATGCAGCAGGAGTAAACATCCTCATCTTTCCCCTGATCTGGGAGCCAACATTCTGCCTTACTCCATTCTATACCACATAACCTCAATACACAATATTATGACAAGCTGTCTATGTTGTTTTGTTGTAATGCTCATTATTGATAAAAAGCTTTCTCCTATTCCTAATGGCTGAATTTTTTACATGGATTGCTGGATTCTGTCAAGTGTCTTGGGTTTATCTATTGAAATTACCATGTGACGTTCATCCTTTATTATTGGGGTATACTAGTTGTCATGTTAACTCAATCTTATGTACTTCATATGATTTCCAGTTATGATGAATCATACTTTTTATGTATTACTCCCTTCAGCTTCTAGTATTTTGCTGACAATCTTGATGTCTATATCCATAAATTGCTCCGTAGTTTGTCTCCATCTTCTTTTCTCGGCCATGTTTGGTATCAGGGTAACATTTGTCTCACACAATGAGTAGTAGTTGTTGCTCCTCCTCGTCGTCCTCTTCTTCTTCCTCCTCCTCCTGTAGTTGTTGTTCCTCCGCTTCCTCCTCCTCCTCTTCTTCCTCCTTTCTCTTCTTTTTCTGGGGTGAATAACTGGCTTTTAAAATCAGCATATGGTTCTGGGCTTTTGTGGCTACTTCTGTTTGTTCATATTGTCTGTTTTTTTCTTGAGATTTGATCTTTTGTGTCTTCCCCAGGAATTTGCTGATAAACCACAAATCATCCATCTTTTCTTTCAATAACCATGTAAAATGGTTAAAGTACTTAGTTTATAAATATTCAAGGTGTCTATTAACTTAAAACTGCTCACAAAACTAGCCTGCTAGAGACTTTTTTTTTTTTTTTGGTCAGTCATGGGGCCTGAACTCTGGGCCTGGGCACTGTCCCTCAGCTCTTCAGCTCAAGGCTAGCGCTCTACCACTTGAGCCACAGCGCCACTTCCATTGAGAATATTTTCCAAGGCAGTAATTCTATTCTATGTGGTAAATGCCTTGGCATTTTCAAAGTTTTCGATGACTGCTCTAGGAGACATCAAACTTTTTCTCAAAGGCCATTAAAAGAGAAGACAGTATTTCAGGCTTTGTGGACCTTATGGTCTCTGTTACAATTATTCAACTTTGCATGGAGTGCAGGCAGTTAAAACACAAATACATGACCAGGGTGCAAAAAGCAGCAGCAAGCTGACTTGGACCTTGGGTTATCAGTCTCTAGCCACTACTGTAAGATAGCTAGCTAAGTAATAAAATCATTTCATCTACACATAAATCAGTTAAAACCAGAACAGGCAAAAAAATAATAAATTTACTAATAAACTAATTCAAGGAGGAAATGATTCTAGGAAATATGTACACTGTCATGTGGTCTATTAACTAAGATAGTGGGCCTCAATTTGCCATTTACCTTCACTCTTTTTATAACTGTTGACATGTAGGGAAAATAGAAAAAACTGTTTCAAGTCAGCTTTACATGCATTTTTAAAGTATTTCATATCATTTAACTACTGTAACTCAGTGATATTTTTCTTTATTTAAAAGCAAGCACCATAACATTTACGATTAAAATTAAGACCTAAAAGCATATCAAGAACAGTTTATAGTTGATATTTCTGTGCAATCCTTTTACAACCTTTTGCTAATGGTGACTGCATATATGGTCATCACGAATCCATTTGTGTACCTAAATATTGAGAATAAATGATTAAAAGGCTACTTAAGAAATTAATGATTACCTTTTCTGCCACATTCCACTTAAGTAACAAAATACTTTAGCACTCTTAAATTCTTGTTTGTTAAGTCTACTTCCAACAATTCTTCAACAGAAGTAACTGAACAAAGCTGAGTTCAAGAATGTGTACTACAGCCTTGTTTACCAAGGACAATTAGTGACCTCTCAATAATCACCGATAAATGACTGATATAGCCTTATGTGCATTCCAAAATCGCGAAACATTTCTTCTTAGCTCCCAGAAAGACAGATTTTGGAGAGCCAAATCATGAAAGGCACATTGTGAGTTTCTTGACTACAGGGCTTGGTTCTGAGGATGAGAAGTATAAACAATGGAAGGAACAGGACACTTGGTGCTCTCGTGGAGAATCACTATCTCTCCAACCTAGGAAGACAGAAGAGGTGAGAGAGAATTTCTGGAGACAAAAGGGACAAGGAAGAGAAACCTGAGTCTCTGAAACTTAAGTCTCTAATTGACCTCTCCACCATCTATGCTCAGGGCAGATGGCAAACAGTTCAGCTCAGCTAAGAAAAACGAATAGAAAGAACTAGGTTCTGTCATCCACCAACAGTGTAAGAATTTGTAATCTGAGTCTAACCACATTAATTGCCTGTCAAAAGTAATTCTGCAGAAATAGTCTACAGTCTCCACAACCTTACATTCTCAAGCTCCAGGATATAACCCCAAATGCTGCAACAGTGAGGTTAGGAGAAGGCGATCCACAATGATCTGACTCAAAATGACCCAGTTGTGTAAATGCAGACATTTTAATGAAATACAGTCATTGTAGCTAGGTCTGTTTACCAAAATGTTAAATGGAGTGGCAAAATACATATATTTAAAAAGTAAATGTTAAAACTCAAAATTTTTTAAATCTGAAAGAAAAGTTCACTGAGTGGGCTTTAATATTAGAATGGCCATGAGAAAAAGTTAGTGAACTTAAAAGGTGGATTTTTAATTCAGTAACCAAGAACTGAAGAAAAACAAATGATCTAACATTTGTTTAAGTGAAGGTCCAAAGAGGAAGGGGTGTATGGTATAGGAAAAAGCCTACCTGAGTAAACAGACTTCCCAGAAATGTCAAATGCATAAAATGCTTTTAAAGGTGAAAAATCTCAGTAATTCTTGAACAAGATTAAAATAAAGCACACTGAAGTACATCGCAGTCTGAATGCTAAAAATCCAATCTAAAGAAAATCATGAAAACAAACAGTAAAGTTACACACCACTTCCAAAGAAATAAAAAATTATTATGTTGGAAGGCTAGCAACAATATGGAAATAAATCCTTCTTTAAACTTGGAAAGGGTGACATTGTCTAACAAGAAATACTCATTATCTAGCTTATGTAACCATAACTCCTCTGTACATCAACTTTATAATAACAATAAAAAAGAAAAGAAAAAATTACTTTAATTAGCCAGTCAGTGGCTCATGACTGTAATCCTAGTTAATTCCAGAAACTGATATCTTAGAATCGAAGTTCAAAGTTAGCCCAGGCAGAAAGAAATAGAGTGTCATCTCCAGTTAGCCAGCTAGAACTGGAGGTGTGGCTCAAGGGGAAGAGCAGAGAAAAAGGTTCAGCAAGAGTGTGAAGCCCTCAGTTCAAGCCACAGTAATTAAATAAATGAATGTTCAGAAAAGATTCTTGTATTTGAAAATTGTTCTGGAATTAAAGGTAGCATAACAGAATTAGATACTTTAACTACTATTAGCCAAACTTGCTTTTATACTTTTCAAAACTACTTTATAAAACTGTGTTACAATAGCTGTAAACTTTACATTCTCCTTTACTATTTCGGGGGCAGGGCCAGTACTGGGGTTTGAACTCAGGGTCTCACACTTGCTACACAGGTGCTCTAACATGGAGCCAGCCTCCTTCACATTTTTTTCCCAATGGTTTTATGAGTACAACTTAAGTGTATAAGAAACGTATTTTTTTTTTTTTGGAAGAGAGGAGAGCAGTACTGGGGTTTCAACATGGCCTTGTGATGGCTAGATAGAACTCTATCACTTAAGCCACACCCTAGCCAGCCCTGAAACATACCATTTTCAAAGTAAAGAAATGCTTTAAATTTTCCATAAATATCACTGTCTGGAAAACTGGGCATCATTGTCCCAATCAATCAACTTGAAACCTTCATGGAAAGAGTAAGAAAATCATCCCAGGAAGGTGCTCCCAGGAGGCGTTTAGCTGTCTCCACATGTGACCTGGATGCCCACCTCAGACCTGTTCAGCTTACTGCCTGTATAGCCATGCAGCTTAATCTTAGTCAAAACGAGAACTTCTATTGTTTCCATATACTCACATGAAATTGCTCCTAACAGAAAATCATCTTTCAATCACAACTTTTCTTGAAGTGTCTGGCTGTAGTTAAAGATGTCTTGCCGCTTCTGTTTCACCTTGAAACTCCCAGACACTTAAGCTAGCAAATTCTACTCACTAGAGTTAGCTCAGAAAAGGCATGCAATAAGGACTTTTTTCTTTCTTTCTTTCTTTATAACTAGTCAGTTGAACTATTTTCCTAGAGAAGTGGTAAAAGTAAAAAAAATAATAAAATTATTGCATCACTTCAAAAAAACAGGCCATCCAGCTTTTATTGACTATTTAATATCTTCTTGGATATGGGGGTGGAGACTTCTTTTAAAATTAAGTCTTATCACTAGCTAAGTACATATTCTGCAAAGACATCACATATAAAATACAAAAATCAGTTCCATGTATCCATTTAACAACAGTGTACATTACAGCAAGTATCACCATCAGAGTAACTCCCTGAATTTAATAAGCAGCATGAATATATTGTGACAGCAGCAGATAGCAATGTCCCTCAGAGGGCAGTGTTCACAAAGAGCAACTAGAACAGAAAAACAAGGTCATATGTTTGCTTCTTCTCTTGTTCTTGTTAGTAAGTATATAAGTAAAAGATACAAGGGCAAAGCAGGGGGACTGGGTAGCACTCTTGTGCAGATAAGACTGTGTTACAGGCAGATCTTGGATCTGCAAATTGGAAGCAAATATTCATTAAAACAGCTGTTCTTTAACACCAAAATAGAGCTATATGCCATTTCCATGATTATTTCCAAATCTTCTCACTTTAGGCATCTTCTTTTCATCTATCAATACATGTGTGTAGATCACTAAGTACACTCATGGCAGGAATAAGAAGTTCAGCAACAGACTTTACAAAACCAGTCGTTTGTGGGACAAGCAGCACTAACGCATCTGCAAGAAGAGAAGCATCAAAGTATCAAGTAACTCTAAAATAAATGTGTGCACGCCAAATAGAACTTAGCATTATTAGCTACGTAAATAAAGACCTGGCTGGTCAAGTTAGTATACAAATGAGAAATGGCCTTCAGAAGTGAAAAGAAATGTAACTCAACTGCTGTAAGCACTAAGGTTCTGGCATCTTAGCACCGCTCTTAGCACCAAGGGAAACCCCGAGTATTAAATAAAATGGGGGAAAAGCACAAAAATTGACAAGGTTTTAATCCTTGTCCATACACCTTACTTTCTCAAGTACTTGTCCCGTTTGGCATTCCTGTTCCTCCGCTCTTCCATACTACCCCTCCTTCCTCTCCCCCCACCCCCCCCAAAAAAAGAAGAAAGTATCCTAGGTACTGAGGTACTGAATGTGAAAGTTTGCCCCTAGTGGTGGCAAATACTGATCTGAAAAACACCAAGACCTGAGAGGCCACAAACTTCTG